TGTAGGGTTTAGGGTTTAGGGTTTAGAGTTCAGCCTTTTCAACTCAAGCATTCACCCGGCAAGTAGCCTGTCAAGTGACAGAGAAATACCCACTCTAAACCCTAAACCCGAAACCCTAAACCCTACACCCTTTCCCCCTAAACCCTAAACCCTAAACCCTAAACCCCAAACCCCAAACCCTAAACCCTAAACCCTAAACCCTAAACCTTCGCCCATTGCATTCTACAATCTCCCGTCAGCCCGTAGCTCAAATGAGGGTTTGGGCTTAGCAGCCGGCGTGGGAGCCACATTTCATGCACCTACAGGGTTTAGGGTTTAGGGTTTGGGGTTTAGGGTTTAGGGTTTAGGGTTTAGGGTTTAGGGTTTAGGGTTTAGGGTTTAGGGTCCCTTTCAGGTCATAGTTTCACAACAGGACACTGCAAGCCTGCTTCCTTTTTCTTCGAAGAGTCATGACTGCGAATGCTAGTTCAACTACTTTTTGTAGTACCATGGCGATGATGGCGATCACTGTTCTGATTGCAATCACGATGATTGTTGTTACTAAGCCCAAACCTAAACCCTAAACCCTAAACCCGAAACCCGAAACCCGAAACCACCTTCGCTGGGCCCGAGGCTGAGGCGCGCTGTCACCAGAACGGAAACTGCAGCCACAGGGGGGAAGACAGAGGGCATCGCAGCCCGAACCCCAGAAAGCCTTCAAGCAGCTTAGGGTTTAGGGTTTAGGGTGTAGAGTTTAGGGTTTAGGGTTTAGGGTCGAGTAGCCCAGACAAGGGTAAGGGGTCATTTTGGAACACAGAAGGGAGTCATTTTGGAACACAGCAGGGAGTCATTTCGGAACACGAGAAAGGGTCATTTTGGAACACAAAGAGCAGAAAAATAGGTCAGCGCCTAACAAAAAATGCACGCGTGCGATCACGGCAGAGGGTTCGGCGAACGAAGTTACGAATGCGCAAAACACACTGTAAAACGCATGTCGACACCCACGATCCCCGCAGAGGGTGCACGAACGCATTGCAAACGCATGTCGACACCCACGATCCCCGCAGAGGGTGCACGAACGCATTTGCAAATGAGCAAAAACACACTGTAAAACGCATGTCGACACAGACGATGCCCGCAGAGGGTGCACGAACGCATTTGCAAATGAGCAAAAACACACTGTAAAACGCATCTCGACACCCACGATCCCCGCAAAGGGTGCACGAACGCATTTGCAAATGCGCAAAAACACACTGTAAAACGCATCTCGACACCCACGATCCCCGCAGAGGGTGCACGAACGCATTTGCAAATGCGCAAAAACACACTGTAAAAAGCATCTGGACACGCACGATCCCCGCAGAAGGTGCACGAACGCATTTGCAAATGCGCAAAAACACACTGTAAAAGGCATCTGGACACGCACGATCCCCGCAGAGGGTGCACGAACGCATTTGCAAATGAGCAAAAACACACTGTAAAACGCATGTCGACACGCACGATCCCCGCAGAGGGTGCACAAACGCATTTGCAAATGCGTAAAAACACACTGTAAAAAGCATCTCGAGACCCACGATCCCCGCAGAGGGTGCACGAACGCATTTGTTAATGCGCAAAAAAACACATTGTAAAAAGCATCTCGAGACCCACGATCCCCGCACAGGGTGCACGAACGCATTTGCAAACGCGCAAAAACACACTGTAAACAGCATCTCGACACCCGCGATCCCCGCAGAGGGTGCACGAACGCATTTGCAGATGCGCAAAAACGTACTGTAAAAAGCACGGACGAAGTTGCGAATGCGCAAAAATGCATTGTAAAATGCATCAAAAAAAGTTTCATATGCTTTGAAGCAAGCTTGCACGGCTTTAAAAAAGCGGGGGGGTTGGGGGGGGCGCAGCCCCCCCCCCATTTGCAAACACAATGCGTGCATGATGGGTTTCAAAAAAAGTTTCATATGCTTTGAAGCAAGCTTGCACGGCTTAAAAAAAGCGGGGGGGTTGGGGGGGGCGCAGCCCCCCCCCATTTGCAAACACAATGCTTGCATGATGGGTTTCAAAAAAAGTTTATGCTTTGAAGCAAGCTTGCACGGCTTAAAAAAAGCGGGGGGGTTGGGGGCAGCGCAGCCCCCCCCATTTGCAAACGCAATGCGTGCATGATGGGTTTCAAAAAAAGTTTCATATGCTTTGAAGCAAGCTTGCACGGCTTAAAAAAAGCGGGGGGGTTGGGGGGGGCGCAGCCCCCCCCATTTGCAAACACAATGCTTGCATGATGGGTTTCAAAAAAAGTTTCATATGCTTTGAAGCAAGCTTGCACGGCTTACGCAGCCCCCCCCATTTGCAAACACAATGCTTGCATGATGGGTTTCAAAAAAAGTTTCATATGCTTTGAAGCAAGCTTGCACGGCTTAAACAAAGCGGGGGGGTTGGGGGGGGCGCAGCCCCCCCTCATTTGCAAACACAATGCGTGCATGATGGGTTTCAAGAAAAAGTTTCATATGCTTTGAAGCAAGCTTGCACGGCTTAAAAAAAGCGGGGGGGTTGGGGGGGGCTGCGGAAACCAAAGAAACCAGAGAAACCATAGAAACCAAGGAAACCAAGGAAACCAAGAAAACCATAGAAACCATAGAAACCAGGGAAACAATGGAAACCACACAAGTCCAGGAAACCATGGACACCACGAAGCAAGGAACCAAGGAAACCATGGAAACCATATAAACCATGGAAACCATGGAAACCATGGAAACCGTAGAAACCAAAGAAACCAAGGAAACCAAGGAAACCAAGGAAACCAAGAAAACCAAGAAAACCATAGAAACCATAGAAACCACGGAAACCATGGAAACCACACAAGCCAAGGAAACCACGGAAACCATGAAAACCACAGAAACAAAGGAAAGCATGGAAACCAAGGAAACTAAGGAAACCATAGAAAACCATAGAAACCATAGAAACCACGGAAACCATGGAAACCATAGGAACCAAGGAAACCATGGGAACCAAGGAAACCATGGGAACCAAGGAAACCAAGGAAACCAAGGAAACCAAGGAAACCATTGAAACCAGAAATCCCTTGTAAACAGTACTAAACCAAGAGAAACGCGTTCCAAAATGACCCCTTTACGCGTTCCAAAATGACCCCTTTACGCGTTCCAAAATGACTCCCTTGCGCGTTCCAAAATGACCCCTCTCCCAAAAAAGACAGCCAGCTAAACCCAAACCCCTAAAACCAAAAAGCCCTAAGCCCTAAGCCCAAAACCCTACACCCTAAAACCTAAACCCCGAAAATCAAAAAAACCCTCGACTTGAAACCCCAATGAGTTTAAACCCCTAAACTCAAGGGATTTAAGACTCGTACCCCTCAGGTTGTACCCCGCAAGGCTCCTCCGAATATGGCCCTTATTCTGCACCACTGTTGAAAATCTGTTTTAAAAATGACCATGTTGTTCCTTATGTGGGTTGAAGTAAATATTCGTAAAAAAAGGTTTAGGGTTTAGAGTTTAGGGTTTAGGGTTTAGGGTAAGCATGACTTTCAACATAACAATGACCCAGCTATTCTCACTTAGAGAGATCCTTAGACAAGGTTCTACCCAACCCAGGTCCAAGGTAGAGTCCTCTGATAAGCGCAAACCACGATTCGGCCTTGGTAGGTTACCAAAGCCAAAAGGTTTAGGGTTTAGGGTTTAGGGTGTTAGGGTGTTAGGGTGTTAGGGTGTTAGGGTGTTAGGGTGTTAGGGTGTTAGGGTGTTAGGGTGTTAGGGTTTAGGGTTTAGGGTTTGGGGAAATCTGGGAGGTTCCCCCTTACACTAACAGTCCATAGCAGGGATTATAATGGGGGGTGCTACAATCCCCATTAAGGACGTTAGTAAAAGGGGGGAACATCCCAAGTTACCAAAGCCAAAGACCAAGACCGTGAACTCCGAAGCCCTAAGCCAAGCACATCTCCGGAACAAATCGAGAGCAGCCCCTAAGATCTCTAGGCTTTGGGGTTTAGGGTTTAGGGCTGGTCGGGTTTAGGGTTTAGGGTTTAGGGTTACGGATTGGGGTTTTCGGGTTTGAGGCGAAGCCTTCAGCCGGATTATCATCTGAAAACACCCCAACACCCCACTAAAAACCAAAAAACAACCGCAGAAAGCCTGTGAACATCTACAGACCCACAAACCCTACACCCCCCTCGGGCAACCCTAAACCCTATAAACCTTAAACCCTAAACCCTAAACCCTAAACCCTAAACCCTAAACCCTAAACCCTAAACCCTAAACCCTAAACCCTAAACCCTACCCTCTGTAGGTAAACTCCAGGCCTCTATTGTCTGCAAGAGATTCGGCAAGAGGCCTCTTGAGGGCATTAAGGCAGCATAGTGCTTTCGAAGCTTGGGAAGTAGGTTTAGGGTTTAGGGTTTAGGGTTTAGGGTTTAGGGTTTAGGGTTTAGGGTTTAGGGTTTAGGGTTTAGGGTTTAGGGTTTAGGGTTTAGGGTTTAGAAAATTTAGGGTTTAGGGTTTAGGTTGTAGGTTATAGGGTGGTTTGCCTCCGGCGGGGTTCTTTTCGATAAGGATTTGGGTTTGGGGTCAAGGCTGTAAGTCCTGAAAACGGTCAGAAGGGACAGAGCGGCTCAGGGGTAATTAGTTAGGGTTTAGGGTTTAGGGTTCAGGGTTTAGCGTTCAGGGTTTAGCGTTTAGGGTTTAGGGTTTAGGCTTAAGGGTTTAGGGTTTAGGGCTTAGGGTTTTTCAGGTTTAGGGTTTAAGGTTTAGGGTTTAGGGTTTGGGGGCTTGCAAGGGCCTGTTGTCTCCTGCTCCCGTGCGTGTGACTCTGTCGGGTCCGCGTTTCAAAGGCCTTTAAGGTAGCCAGGTAGCCTGAGTCCCGTGCGCGACATCTGAGGAAGCGCACTGGACGACTGTACATGGGGGCGCAAGGCGTTTGTCGCAGCCGACTTTCTGTACAAAGGAAGCCGCGTCACAACAGGAGCTGCACACAAAAGGTCTTTACAATTCTGTGCCGAAACACTATATGAAACCCAACGCCTACGGCCAACTGTCCATCCGCAGCGTGTCCCCACGACGGACGTCCGACCAAGGCTTGTTCGCGCCTGAGGGATCCTGCGAGGGGTCCTTGGTGTTCAGGGAGATCGCAAACCGTTCCACCCGAAACCCTAAACCCTAAACCCTAAACCCTAAACCCTAAACCCTAAACCCTAAACCCTAAACTCTAAACCCTAAACCCTAAACCCTAAACCCTAAACCCTAAACCCTAAACCCTAAACCCTAAACCCTAACCCTAAACCCCAAACCCTGAACCCTAAACCCTAAACCGTAATCCGACGGATCCTTGGTGGTGATGAAGTCGCAGACCATTTCTCGGTCCCCACGGATGTCGTAGAGCCCGCAGTACACGATCACGGCGTTCCGGGGGTAGTCGCGCTCTCCACCTCCGCGGCCGTTCCTTGGTAGCCCAGCAACTGTAAGGCCACTTCTCCAAAATGTAGTCACTTTTTTGGGTTTAGGGTTTAGGGTTTGGGGTTTCGGGTTTACCGGGGAGGGAACCCCCCCCTCCCCTCCCTTACACCCCCAACCCCCCCCACCCCCACCCCCCCCCCCCCCCCCCCCCCCACCCAAAACAGCCCGGCCCCCCACCCCCACCCCCACCCCACCCACCAAAAACAGCAGGTCCCAAGACACTTGCGTTGAGAGGTTTAGTTTAGGGCCTCTTGGGTCGGCGGCCTGAGCCGGAGGCTCCTAAATCGGGCAACGCCCCTCTGTGTGCCCGCTAGGGCGGAAGCCCTAGCTTTAGCTATGGGACGGCACGCCTACGCCGCCGACCCGGTTGGCTCGCCGACATCCGGCTCCAAATTTTCTGTTGTTGGTTACCGTATGAGGGAACCTAGAACACAAGCAAGGGCAAACAGGTACCCCTAACCCCCATAAACCCAAAACCCAAAACCCAAAACCCTAAACCCCTAAACCCTAAACCCTGAACCCTATAAGCAACCAAGGCTCCAGGGCTCGTTGTCGCAGTAGCAGTTGGCGTCGGACGTCGTGTAGGGGCCCACTTTGGCTTCCAGGTCATAGTTGCAAACCTTACCGGCTGAGTTCCGCAGAGAATGAGGCAAGCTCATCGTTGGGTTAAACCCTAAACCCTAAACCCTAAACCCTAAACCCTAAACCCTAAACCCTAAACCCTAAACCCTACACCCTAAACCCTAACTCAAGAAGGCTCTAAGTGACCCAGTTCCACACAGCGCCAACGAAGTAGGCCACGGTGTTGGGCGTGTTGCTGTATGGATGGACTAAGCCACTGTAGCCGGCCTCTCTGCGCACCATGTGCCTACATCCTCCCTACCCTAGCAGGCACTACTTTGAAGCCCCCACCACCATTCAAATGGGGTTTTAGGGTTTAGGGTTTAGGGCTTAGGGTTTCGGGTTTAGGGTAGTTTAACAAGGCTTCAGGGTGTAGGGCACTCCAAACTGGACGAGCCCCGAGGTCCTGGTAAACTCCGTTCTCGTAGACGTTGCTTAGCGCAGCCTGTGGGGTGCGCAGGAACGTGCCCGAGAAGGGAGAACCAGCAAATCTCTCAAACCCCAAATTCAGAAAGAGCCCCCTTGGTAGCGAAGCCTAGCAGTTTTCATGAAAGTAATTAACTACTAAGTAAAGACATAGTTAATGTGCATGTGAACAATGATATGTAACATAGACGGCAATGATAGACACGGAAGGTGGGTCGGTGGTACAAATTTACAAACTTCTTATGAATATCTAAAACTTGAATTGCGATCCAACTTCGTAGTCTACACCCTACACCTTAACTAGACCCAAGAGTAACCTAGAATAAAAGGGTGCCCCTTTTTGGCTTGTGGGGCTTACAAGGGACCCTTAACCCCAAAAAAAGAGAAATAGGAGCCTACTCTGGGTCCTAATTTGCACCCTAAACCCTAAACCCTAAACCCTAAACCTAAACCCTAAACCCTAAACCCTCAACCCTAAACCCTAAACCCTAAACAAGCTCATCGTTGGGTTAAACCCTAAACCCTAAACCCTAAACCCTAAACCCTAAACCCTAAACCCTAATCCCAAGGTCGGCCTTGATGTTGTTGCGGTAGTCCCCGCCCTGTCCTGACAAGGCGCCGGGTTGCTACAAGACCTCCTAAAACCCTAAACGCTTAGCCCTAAACCCTAAACCCTAAACCCTAAACCCTAAACCCTAAACCCTGAACTCTACCCAAACCCCACAATCAGCCCTAATTAGGGCCCTTAGAACCCCAAATCCTAAACCCGAAACCCCAAACCCTAAACCCTAAACCCTATGAACCCTAAACCCTAGTAACCCTAGTAACCCTAGTAACCCTAGTAACCCTAGTAACCTAAACCCTAAACCCTAAACCCTAAACCCTAAACCCTAAACCCTAAACCCTAAACCCTAGTAACCCTAAACCCAAAGCCCAAGCCTGCAGGCCCCATGGCGCCCACACCCTGGTCGGAGGCGAACTCGACGCCCGCGGGGAAGTTCTGGGCAGGATTTAGGGTGTAGGGTTTAGGGTTTAGGGTTTAGGGTTTGGGGTTTAGGGTTTAGGGTGTAGGGTTTAGGATTTTGGGGTTTGGGGCAAAACATCAGAATGAACGGGAAAAGACAGGCAGTTGGTCCTGGGGTTCTGTAGGTAAACCCTTATCCCTACAACCCCGTCACCCCACAAACGTGCTGTGGCCGGTTCTCTAAAGTGTGGAGGCCTAGTGGGTGCCCTCAGGTAAGGCTCCGAACGAGATTTGGGCAACCATTCAATGTCCCTGAGTATTCGGGCATGGGGCATAGGGTATGGGGCATGGGGTTTAGGACCAGGGTTTAGGGTTTAGGGTTCAGGGTTCTGGGGTTTAGGGTTTCCGGTTTAGGGACACTGGCAAATCTTGGCTCATATCTCTCCAGGGCTCGAAGCCCCGCCACCAGCCGCATCCAGGGTTCGCATAGGACTTGCCAAGGCCGGGGACATACAATGTCGGGCACTGGACCTGGTTTAGGGTTTAGGGTGTAGGGTTTAGGGTGTAGTGTTCGGGGCTTAGGTGGGGGGGGGGGTCTGATTGCTACTGCTGAGCATGTCAAAGTTGAGGTTTAAGCCGTACTTCTACAAGACCCGGGAGCATAAACTCTATCTTTGGGCATGAGGGCCTACTCTGGGTCCTAGTCTACAAGGGTTCAGGGCGACGTTGCCGAACTTGGCTCAAAAACACCAGCGAATTTGCTAGTTGCGCCGGCCGGCATGATCCTTGCCGAAAGCTCCAACGAAGCAGTTCTGTTCGGCCACGGGCTGCTTTGAGCTGAAGTGCTCCAAGTAGAAGATATCTCCTCGACAGTGTACCTATAAACCCTATAAACCCTATAACCCCTATAACCCCTATAAACCCTATAAACCCTAAAAACCCTAAAAACCCTAAAAACCCTAAAAACCCTAAAAACCCTAAAACCCTAAAAACCCTAAAAACCCTAAACAACCCTACAAACCCTATAAACCCTATAAACCCTACAAACCCTGTAAACCCTTTAAACCCTATAAACCCTAAACAAACCGTAAGCCCTAAGCCCTAAGCCCTAAACCTAAACCCTAAACCCTAAGCCTTAAACGCCAAAAGATGTCTCCTCGGCAGTCAGTCTGGATCCCTGAACCATCGCATCCGTGCACCACCTTGGTCGTCATGGAACCATATTTCTATGAGGGCACCCTGTTTTTTTCGGGGGGTTGGTGATTTTATAAGGGAACCCATAACCCTAAACCCTAAACTTGTTAAACCCTAAACCCTAAACCCTTCTTGTGGGTTGGTTCTTTTATAAGGGAACCCATATTAAAAAAGACAAATAAAAGGCTACCACTGGGCTACCAAGCCACCCAAACGTCCGGCGCATTCCAGGTCCCTCTGGCAGGGTCCCAAGACCGGAAGCCTCTGCAGGGCCACGGAACAGGGAACCCTAAACCTTAAACCCTAAACCCTAAACCCTAAACCCTACACTCTAGAATCTCTTATGAGAACCCTTGAAGAATGTTTTCGGGAATTCCCGAACTCCCTATGGGATGAGAGGGCTTTTTATTTCTTAGGGATTTACACGCTTCGGGCGTAACATGTACACGTCAGCCGTCCAGGACCATGAACCCTGGCCGCGCATTCCTGTGGGTTGCTAGCTACATCATCCGGGCCCATACTTTGTACCCCTGAACCCTAAACCCTATAAACCCTAAACCCTAAACCCTAAACCCTAAACCCTAAACCCTAAACCCTATACTTTGTAATCCCGAACCCCCAAGGGCCGGGCTCAGGGACGGTCGGAATCGATAGTGGGCTGCTCTTGATGAGCTGAAGTGAATGGAAACCCACATATTGTTCCCTCTACCCTCGGGTACTAGCCTGAGTGTGAGTACCTCGACATCGCCACTTTAGGGAAGGTTTATGTGGACTCTAGACCCTAGCCCTAAACCCTAAACCCTAAACCCTAAACCCTAAACCCTAAACCCTAAACCCTAAACCCTAAACCCTAAACCCTAAACCCTAAACCCTAAACCCCAGAAGCCTTGGAATCCTGGCTGTCCCTTGCTGGGATCTGCCACTGCGCTCTTGTCGAAAAAGAAGGGATCCTTAGTTGCTGAGTCATAAGCCCTAGGGTTTCGGGTTTAGGGTTTAGGGTTTAGGGTTGCTGAGTTCATAAGCCCCAAAGAAGTGTACACTTTCACTTCTCTAAGGGAGGATAGTATCCCAAAAAGTGTAAAGTGTGCTCACTCAACTACTGAGGGTCTGAGTAGAACTTGCCACTGTTGACCCAGGAGCAGTCCTGCGAAGGCTCGATGGGTTTGGCTTTGGGCTCGAGTAGGTTGATGTTCTGAACAGATGTTGCAGGTTCCTAAACCCTAAACTCTACGTAACCCCAAAACCCTAAAACGTAAACCCTAAACCCTAAACGTAAACCCTAAACCCTAAACCCTAAACCCTAAACCCTAAACCCTAAACCCTAAACCCTAAACCCTAAACCCTAAACCCTAAACCCTAAACCCTAAACCCTAAACCCTAAACCCTAAACCCTATAAACCCTAAACCTCATTCTCTTCACCCTAAAGACCAGGGCCTTGTTATCCACGTTGGGCATGAACGCGTAAGGTGTGCAAGAGGCTCCATGCTGCCCGCACGCCGCGCCGAACACCTCCAATGCAAATGTTACATTAGGGTTTAGGGTTTAGGGTTTAGGGTGTAGGGTGTAGGGTGTAGGGTTTAGGGTTTAGGGTTTAGGGTTTAGGGTTTAGGGTTTAGGGTTTAGGGTTTAGGGTGTGCGAAAACCTGCATCTCAAGTTGCGGCTTTTCGGGTTTGTGGGGTGCATGGTATAGTTCTGGGGGCCCTATGTATATATGCATATCTCCTAAACCCTAAACCCTGAACCCTTTTTGGATCCCTACTATCATACGGCACCTAATATTTAGGGTACCCCAGAAGGGAGCACAATTTTGACAACCACCCATATGTATATGTATATGTACACAGATGGTCACACCCAACCCAAGACCTACACAAATTGCTCTTCATTACACACATATCGTTACGACTATCTTCAATGCTTCCGCGTGCTTGTCACTGCACAAGCGTGCAGAGACCCGGGAAACTGGGTCCCCTTTTCCGGGGGGGGGGGGGGGGGGGGGAGGGCGAAGACGAAATTCGAAGACGAAATTCGGCCCTTCGGCGGGGCGGGTGTCAGCACTGACTAAAAATGCGGCTTACAGGGCTTGTAGGGTTTATGGTTTAGGATTTAGGATTTAGGGTTTAGGGTTACCCGAATCCCCCTAAACCCTAAACCCTAAACCCTAAAGCCTAAACCCTAAACCCTAAACCCTAAACCCAGCAGCCTAAACCCAGCAGACGCACCTGATTGCGACCGCAGGTCTCTTGGTTGTTGGCATCGATGCAGCCTTCCTTCCGATTGTCGTGGGCATTCCAGTACCTGGTTCAGCTAAGTAGGGTTTAGGGTTTAGGGTTTAGGGTTTAGGGTCTAGGGTTTAGGGTTTAGGGTTTAGGGTTTAGGGTTTAGGGTCTAGGGTCTAGGGTTTGGGGTATAGGGTAAGGGGTAAGAGGAGGGGCCCCTAGAAGGGACCCTCCTTCTGATTCCCCTGTATAGCCCTCATATATGCCTCACATAGCACCTCTATACCGAAGCATAAGCCCCGAAATAACAGCCAGATCTATCTGCAGCGACTACCCTGAACGCCTACACGTATACCTGACAAAGCCCTGAACCATAAAGCTTCAAGGCGCCTGCTAAAAAAAAAGAAAACTTGAACATGAAAGGCCGCGGTGCACCAGGTCGTTGCAACTGGTCGCAATCGGTGTCCGCGAACTCATGGCCCGTTCCTGTGACTTCGCAAACACGTCAGCCTTTTGGATTTCAGAGGGGGTTCGGGCATATGCTCCTCTTCCCAAAGAGGCAACATCCGAAACAAGGTCCGGGCTTTATACTCGACTCCCAGGACTTTCAAAAAAGGAACTGCTCTCTGAAGGCTCCTTGCCCAGGAATACACGGCCTGAAGCCACAGCTCCGGGTGTCAGGCAGACTGCGGCGAGCAGGAAGAGGTTTCGCGCGAACCCAACTTCGGCCATCGCTGGCCACGAGCCCTGAATCTTACAGAGCTCCAGCTTGCAAACTGGCTACGGCACTGGTGAGCCAGAAGGCTCTCCGCAGTCTCTCTCTGGTCTCTACACTGCGCAAGCTGAGGGTTGTGAAGTCCTGAACCCTAAACCCTAAACCCTAAACCCTAAACCCTGAGAAAAGCGGAGCCTCGCCAGGGGCCCGCGTGGTCAGGGTTCATCCTGCCAGGGGCGTGCGGACTGAGCGACGAGGTACCCAGCCCTGGTATAGGGGTTTAGGGTTTAGGGTTTAGGGTTTAGGGTTTAGGGTTTAGGGTTTAGGGTTTAGGGTTTAGGGTTTAGGGGTCCAGTAGAATAGACCCGAACCCTACACCGGAGATTCTGGCCTGAACCCTAAGCCCGGAACACAGACCAAACTCCAAATCTGAAACCGTAACCTTAGCGAAACCTTGCCCTCGAGTCTTAATTTCGGAGCACAAGACGACAACCTCCTAAAAAATATCCTCAAACTGCCAAGTCCTAAGCCCCAGGCCCAACTCCGTGTAGGGTTTTGGGTTTAGGGTCTGACGCGGTTGTAATGATCAACCTTAGCTAAAGTCTAAATTCTATGCTGCACCCCAAACCCCAAACCCCAAACCCCAAATCCCAAACCCCAAACCCTAAACCCTAAACCCTAAACCCTAAACTCTAAACCCTAAACCCCAAACCCCAAACCCCAAACCCCAAACCCTGTGGGCATGACCATCGGATCCACCCAGCAAAGGGGGTCGGGGCCGTCCGGCGGGCGAAAACCCCAATCCTAAACCCTACACCCACAAACCCGGCACCCAAACCGGTTTAGGGTTTAGGGTTT